TAATTTTGTGAGGCCACATGGAAAAGGCTCGGATGAGCTTTCCAAAGTTCTACAAGTTGTGCCTCCATCGCTTGTGTCCAGATCATGCAAAAATTGCACAGTGTGATTTTTGGTCCATTTTGAGCCGATTTTTGAGTCGTATGACCGTTTTGGCGATCGGCCCGAGTTTGGCCTTCATTGTGCGTCGTGTAGTATACGTGGGGTAACGAGAAGCGATTAACACCTCACGACCAGCTCCCGATCATCAATCGCTTGGTTGATGATCAGGAGAAACTGCGGTGACACCCTCGCGACCGTCATGAGGGTGTCACCGCAGTTTCTCACACTGCGCACGCGCAAACACAAATGTCAGCGAAAAAGACGGCGCAGCACGGCTGTGCAGCGTGTGATGTGGACACAAGCGATGGAGGCACAACTTGTAGAACTTTGGAAAGCTCATCCGAGCCTTTTCCATGTGGCCTCACAAAATTATCACGACATAACAACCGTGAAAATAGTTGGATTTACAATGCTGCTCAATCACAGCTGCCTGATCAATGTTTTTCATTAGCAATTTAGCAAAGTTGATGGTGGTGGTGTGCGTGTCTGTGTGAGTGAAAGACAGAGAGAGAGAGAGTGACAGAATTTCTGTTATAACCTTCATTTTATGGACGCACAGTGTGAGCACTCAGGTCGCATCAGAGCATCGGACCGTATAGTGTGAGACCTGCATCGTGTCCTATGAACTTCTAACCCCTGCGAGTCAATCGTGCCGTTTGAACAGGAGCTGAATCGCGTGACTGAAAAAAATCGCACAGTGTCTGCCCAGCATTAGTTACAGCTTGTTGTCAATACGCTGGGGGCAGAAATTAAGTGATCCTCTGCTGAATTTGTAAATTTGTTTGCTTCCAAAAAAATGAACAGTTAGGTAAACGGGTAGCTTGATTTTAATGGAAATAAACATAATATCATCCAAAACTCCAGGAAAAAAAGTTATAAATTAAATTCCATATCACTGAGTGAAGTAAATATTTGATCCCGAAGCTAAATATGACTTGTTTGAAATACCTTGTTGGTAAGCACAACGGTAAGATGTTTTTTTTTTTTTTGTAGTTATTCACCACATGTGCACACGTTTCAGGAGGGATTCTTTGTTGAAACGCTTAAGTCCTTTTGCTTTAGAGTTGGTGTTTGTCAACCCAAACCTTCAGCTCCCTCCACAGATTCTGTAGGACTCAGGAATGGCTGGTCCTATCCATGACCTTGATGTGCTTCTTCTTCGGCCACTCCTTTTTTGCCTTGATCGGATGTTTATGGGTCATCGTCATGCTGGGAGATCTATCCATGACCCATCTTCAGTGTTCCGGCTAAAGAAAGGAAGTTCTCATCCAAGATCTTATCGTACAGGGCCCCGCCCATTAGCCCCTCAATGTGGTGAAATCATCCTGTACCTTTAGTAGAAAAACAGCCCCAAAGCATAATGCTACCACCTCTGTGCTTGGCTGTGGGGATGGTGTTCTTTGGGTCATAATCAGCATTTCTCTTTCCCCAAACGCTGCACTTCGGGTTGACCACGGCACTTTCTCCCAAGCCTTGGAGATGTTCACTGGCAAGCTTAAGATGGACCATCGCACGTGCCTTCTTTAGCAGGGGGACTTTGTGGGCTTTGCAAGAATAATTGATGCTCATTTGATTTCTTTCAACAGTTATCAACTTCTCATCAAGCAGTTTGCTCATTCCAGCCTTATGCAGGTCTATGATCTTGTCCCTGGTGGAAAAGTAGGAATGAAACAAATTGAGTATCTTCTGTGTGCTACATGGACACAGTCTGTGGAAGCCAGAATTCTTGCTGGGAAGGAGTTTAAGTCTCTGGCTAGAACTGAACCAATGATCTTGATGTCCTTATTTCTACTGTGACACTTGGATGGTTGAATCAGAAATTGGTGTAAACATCATGAAAGCTTGGATCCATTACTTTTGTATCAGCAGTTCAGTTTT